ATTGCTCTAAGAGGAACAAAACGAACAATTAATATCTGCTTTTGGAAACAGATCAGTTATTTATGAATTAAGGACGATAATTGAGACATCCATACCTGTAATTTGATAAAGCTTATATTTACTTTTTAATAGTGTCATATTGCTACTATAAATAAATATAATAGATCTTGTTCGTATGTCTACGGATTCTAAAAAACTTTAGATTTTTTCGGAAAGGAAATAATTTTTATACCCCTGTTACATGATGAGAGACAGTTCAGTCATATTAAGATCGAAGTAGAAAATGTGTAAACCATAAAAATATGCAGACTTTCACAGGCATAAACTATATTACTGTTTCAGTATCCAGTATTTACAGCCATCACCTTTATCCCTGCCATTTGCGTCGATGAAATTACGTTAATTAATTAATTAATTAGCGATGGTGTCAGACATTACCCGCATATCTCCCGTATACATCTATAAACGTGGAAATCAGCTAATCACTAATTATTCGATTACACCCTTGTAATATAAATTAGATTAACGTTTCAATGCAAAGATATAACTTATGAAAGTACACGAATGTGAATATCTTGTATTTACGTTTTCACATAAATCTAAATTGAAACTGAAATTCAAACAGAGTAATACAGGGAAAGCGCTGTTATCTAGGTTTAGAAATGGAAGGTGCAACTAACACTGCAGTCGAAAATAGTTTTTCAGAGTCCTGCCCCGTAGGCTAGTTCATTCCACGTGCATAAACAATAGTCATAGAATTATGCAGATGTTTATCTGGAGACAATACCAAGGATCCTATCCGGTGTGAAGCGATTTAACTTACAATGAAGCTGTTCTTGTCTCTTGCATATTTGGGCTTCTTGTACCTCATTACTGAACGGCAATATATTACATATGCATATATGCATGACGTAGTCTAATCGAAGCTGTCATGGACTTTGACAGTCATGAGATCGAAAATGGAGTTCATGTAGAGCCGCAGAACATAACGAGGACAAAAATTTTATTACGTATTTTGTTGTGATGTTTTTCTCCAAGGGTCCTTGAGTGAAAGGTTTGTGTCTGCTGGCAAAATCTTCGCATGAAATTTTATTTTGAAATATTCTGAAGTCTAGTCATAGGCCTAAAATTAATAAATAGACCTGCAATGTTAACGGATTTATCAACCTCAGGAGTGGTCCAGTAGTTCAGTAATAAACCTTCGTGTTTCATAAAAGAACAGAGCTTTTTGGACTAACTGGGTGACTACTAGCTTCTCAAGGACACTGCTCCACAGGGTTTGTTAGGAATGGTGATAACAAGACAAGAATATTTGAAGTAATGCTTTAAAAAGGAATTTAAACTTTTCTTTACTATTTGGGCCATTTCCCGATCGCGTTCATTATTTTAACAGGTGATGAAGCGGTTGGCCCCACATATATTCAAATTTGCGATTGGTGGTGTCCCATGTTTAAAAGTATAAATACTTGTACAGTCCACAGACCAGGAGAAAATCCCTGCTAGGAATTCGATATACGCGCATGCGCAAGATTTCGTGGTGAGTGACGACCGATCCTAAAAGCATTCGTTCCACAACCACTGAACGAACAACAGACGACAGGCTTTCATGTGTTCTAATGGGTACAGCTTTAAGATTACCTCACAGCGGCACAGTGATTTAATCTAGAATATTATCGCAACACCCGCAGAACACATTACAGGTGCTCTCACTACACGCTACTCTTAACTGCTTGATGTTTTCAGTCTGTGTGCAGTAGAGTAAAACTCTGACGTATCAACACTTCCCACCAATAGCAGCCCTCTAGTCCAGCTGATAAGTAACATTCCCCCCGCACCGCACCAGAAACGACTTCCCCTTGTAGGGTTTTTCTCGTGATCCGTGGACAGTATGTGGAGCCGTGGTACCTATTAGGTCAGTAAACGGACAGCCCAAGGTCAGAAGTCTCGGAGTTTGTTTCTCGGAAATGGGACTGACGTTTCCTTTATCAAGGCACTGCCCCTACTAAGCCTTCCATTAAGAACGTTTGAGGAATGTTTTCCGTGCGACAATGACAACCTGAACGCGAGGCTATCCACTCGTCTACATTTAGTGCCCACCAAAGGACGTTTGGCTCCTTATTCTATACCTCCTCTTCGCCATTATGTTGTGTATTATATATGCATATTTATACCTTCTTAATCATTCTTTACACGAAGAACATAACGTGCAAGCGTCGTGGGCTGGTCCTGTCCGTCAGTCCGTCGGTCTGTTCAGTCGAACCACTGGACGGATTTGGATGAAATTTGATGTAGAAGTTGTGCAATTCTGCAGGACCTCAAAATTGTACCTTTGAATCTCCTACGACCGGTGATAAACTGACGGATATGGAAAATCTTGAGGTAGACATTGAGGTGCGCCGATCTGGTGGCCAAAGTGGGAACTACCGAACAAGGCGGATTTAATACTCCCAAATTCAAAGAAAGCACGATTATATTATGTGCATCCTGGAACGGAATACATTTTCCAAGCTTGTTGTCTACAATTTTTTGTGTGTACTTTACAGGTGAGGGGAACGCAAACAGTTAATTTATTTTAGCTGTTTTGTTGGGAACACTGCTGTGCTGTATCTTTATTCTTGTAATATGGGTAACGTCTTACAGTAGTGATTTGTTTCAGTTCATTTTTTCTGCCGTAATTTTTCGTTTTGAATTTCTCCACCTTTGCTTCATAATCGTTCCTTCCTTTTCTGCTCTCCATCTTGGTTTATTAGCTGTGATACCGAGTTCTTCGTTAGTGCCATTAAGGAGCAAGAAGTTTATATTTGGCTTTAAAGGCCGTACCTGACATACACTACATATAACGTATTCACAAACAATTATTTGAGGATGTTAAACCACATTTATAATAGGTAATTAGAGCCACATTAAAAACCATGACATTAGTACCTTTTTACAAGTAATAGAGCTGTGTGGATTAGATTAATATAATCTATACGTACACATTTTGAAAATTGTTGGCACAGAGGTCGTGCCTCTATTTGATGATGCTTGAAATTAGTTCTTCGGACGGAAGTCATATTATTTCCAGGGTTATTGCTGTTTGCTCTACTTGTAAGTAAATAACCTGCCTCTAGACACAATTGCTAGACTTAGTGGTAAGTAGTCTTGCGTATTTGCGAACCACCGTTTTGAATTCAAACGAAGAATTGACAGCGTTACATTATTACGCCCGAGATGGGAATTCCTACGTCTAACGTAGGCGCGGCCAGGGATCTTTAAATTTTGGCGTCAGTGTAGCAACAAAGTCTTTTGAAATTGCAATACAAAATCTGTGCTTTGAATCTGACCCGTAAAATCAATGGTAACTTTTAATATCATAATCTTTTCCATTCAGTTGCTCTAGTAACAAGATATCTGGGTTTTGTATGATTCTCATAATTCACAGAAAGTATACCTTTAAACACATTAAACAGGTATTTTCTTCAATGGAGACTGTCAGTCTTTTATTGAGATAAAAACTGAGTTTTGAATAAGACGACAAAGAGAAATGAAACAGCGCACAAATTAATCAATTAATTAAACGAATCTGAGGACCGGCACAACTACATGCGGAATCCCCCATGATAACACTGCCTAACAAGACAGGCATCATCATACAGGGTGCGCCAGAAACACCTGACGGTATTTGAAATGTAATAACTTTTCAAGGCAGAGTGGAAAAATTTATTAACACTATCAGATGCATTTACATTTTCGTCGAGAATTTGTTATAAGCATCGCTGTTTGAGTATAACATCTTGCAGGTGACGTCCTTGTTGATCAACACACTTTTTCAGTGGATGCCATAACACGGTGTAGCATTCCATACTGTCACTTTCGCACTATGCAGAGGTCGTTGGTGAAGTACACGCGAATTGTTTGCAGCCCAAAAACGACAAGTTTGTTCACTTACAAAACCTGAAATGGGAAGTGGGCCTCATCTGACATCAGTAATGAGTTCACAATGTTGCGATTATTATTCACCAAGTTCAAGAATTTATTGCAAAAATGAAATCGGTTCACTAAGTTACTGGGCAATTTGGATTTTGCAAGGATGGTAATGCAAATCTTTGTGCAGAATTCGCCGAAAGCTACTATCCTTTAAAACAAGCGCGAGAGTTTGCCGTCGAGCTGACCTGTGGGGGCTTCGCCCCATGGCTTCTCTTACTCGCTCCGCATTTTCAGGTGCACCCACTGAACGTGGACGTCCTTCGGGTTTACTATCCTTCACTGATCCTTGTTGACGCTTATTCAATACCCACAACAGCAGAGTAATTCGGCTAGGTGCATCGCGCGCTGTTGCAAACCACGCTGTATAGCTGCAATTGACTCACTTATCATAAACGGTTCCACAGCCGCAATATGGTATTGCAATTGACCAGCGCTCCATATCAACTAAACTCCAAAGAGCACTCTACATGACGAATGTTAGTATGGAAGTGCAGCGTAGCGGGAAAGATGGTAATTGCATTTCAAAAACCGTCAGGTATTTCTGGCACACTCTGTGTAACCCACCCACGCAAATGTCATAAACCCCAAGTAACTATGACGTTAATGGCGCTGTTCGCAACGTTAAGAGATTGAACTGTGTCGAATGCACCACAGGTGATACGTTATACGTGTTTGTAACTTCTTCTCATTTAATGACGTTTAAAAACACAATAAAATTAGCCGTGCAATGGGCCATATTACAATCAGACACGACGTGAACTAACGGTCCAATCACCGTTTCCAAGTGCGGTTTAAAATAAGATGTAAGCTTAATTAACAAAAACAAAATATATATTCTGAATTTAAATAGAACACAATAAAATCAGAGAAGTCTTAATGTTTGATGTATAGTAATATGTAGCAATGCGACGTAACACCAGGGAGGACAAAACAAAATATAACGAAAGCCTCCACCCCCCAAAAAGAAAACGACCCGACGTCCACCGCCACCAAAACCAAACACAGGAAAATAAAACAGGTTTATAAATTACCAGGTGATGTCGCGTCGGATGACCACTGTAACAGGACTTTCTCCGGGCGCCGAAACGAGATTCACAAAGCCAAACCAAACTATATTTCCACAAGATGTTTTCCAGAAGGTAGACATCAAAGTAGTCGTGCAGGGTGGGGAGAGGAAGAATGCGCATGTCAGACAGGGCGCTTTCTTGAAGCAGACGGAAACAAGATTTTTCCGTCCGCCGTAGATTTTTGCGCACACAACCATAAATGCTGTTTTGTATTAAACTATCTGCTACCATTGAAAGAAGTGGCTAGGGATGGATAACCAGACTTCAATATCAAGCTGGAGCCAAATCAATCCAACGAATGGGGGAGTTTGTTCCTCGGACAGTAAACTTGCCGGAACGTGCAGTTGGCCATATACCTCTATCTGGTGACAATATCTAGAATGCATGGAGCTTTACATTTATACTTTGCTTTTGTGTTTAAGCACAGTGGGGCTCTTAATTTATGCTTGCTAGATTCCTGTTTTACACAAATAGAATTACCACAAGTGCGAATAGAATTTATTAATATCACATACACATACGAGCATTTATTCATTATTCGTACTTTAGTTTCAGTCTCTTGAATAGCGTGCACACTCTGTTGAGACACACCAGGTTTTTAGCTCTTGACATTTGATATCGATTTAGAATTCCCCCATGATTACGGGTATAAACAGGATAGAAATGTTTATTTTTATTTTAACTTCAATGCCGCATTTTAATACTCGTTCATGTTTCATTATCATAACCCATATAAATATACATACAAAACTGAAACGTTCTTCATCTTGACGTCTTATCTGTTTTTGTCATTCAAACAAGGCGATAACAAATGATAGATTATGAGTACAAATCAACAAATTTTAATCGTAGTTTTGAGTCTGAAGTTTTCAAACATGTAGAGTGTATTCAGACTTATTGCGGGGAAATTCGACAAATTCTCAGATTTCTTATCAATCTTCCTTGCCCTAAAACTTAACCATGATCATCAGACATGTATCATTTCATACAATAGGAAAATGATTATGTCTTTACAATATCACCTACAGTAATTAGTTTCAAAGGAATTTTTCAGGATTTTACCCATTCCTTATGCATGAATATAAATAGCATTTGAGCCCGTTCTTCCTTCTTAAGTTAGTTGCACAATAAATTTAATGAATTCTGTGTTAGATTACGTACGGATGAGTTAGATGAGGTTAGGTACGATTAAGTAGGATTAGGATAAATTAACTTGGGTTAGGTCAGATGAGGTTAGGTTAGTTAAAGTTAGGTAAAGTAAAGTTTAATATGGGAAGGTGAGGTTAGATTAGGTTATCTTACGCACGTAACTTTAGTTCAATTGAAATACGTACGTTATATTGCATTTGGTTTGTTTTGTGTTCTGTGTTTAAATTCAGTTGAAAGGAGATATTTCCACCTCTTGACTCTGGGCGTCTGTTTTCCACAGTTTACCTTTATTCTCCAACAAGCTTTAATGTCATGAAACTTAGAGAAATAAATTAAGAACCTCAGCACTGTATTTATATGTGATTTACAACTACGAATATCCAATATAAGGTGCAGAAAGTTAGTTGTCAATACTATACGTATTGGATAAAACAAAAGAATACTGTGGATTAAGTATGCGGTAAGTGACAGTCCTGTATACAGGAATGATTTAAACAGGACTGTATATCCATTTTCACATCGTAGTGTCATGCATATTTCGATTAAATGCTTTTTAGCACGTCGTGACTTTTTGTTACAAGAAAACAGGACAAGTGTAACAAGCTGGACTACCTAAAAAACTGACAAAATCCCTGGTAGCAGAATCCACAGGTTCAACGTCGACAACACCAAAGCCCGCCACCGGACACGATTCTGAGCTAACTCCATCCATTTACTATCCTCACAGCCTACGCCCCTAAGATCCATCTTGATGTTAATCTCCTATCTCCTTCTTGGTCCGCCCAGTGGTTGTTTTCCAGAAAACTTTCCACCAAAATTCTGTGCGCACCTATTGTCTCCCCCCCAATCCCATGCGTGCTCCATGTCCATCCCATCGGAGCCTCCTAGATTTCAGTATCCTCACTATGCTAGGTGACTCGTACAATTCACGCAGCTGCTCGTTATGCAGTATTTTAAATTCCCCACTTATTTCATCCCTCATAGTTCCAAATATCCTCCTGAGCACATTGTATTCAAAAGATTGTAATCTACGTTCTTCCTTCAAGGTGAAAGACCATGTTACAAACTATACAAGATAACAAGCAAAATTATTGTTTTATATATCATGATTTTTAGTATTTTGGATAGTAAAAGAGATGACAACAGTTTTGGAATTTAACAAAAACAAACTTTCCCCGAATGTATTCTACTCTTAATGTAATGATGTGTTGTTTATAATTATGTTCTGTCGTTGTTGATGATGTTGACCCAGTATTGCGCCAGTATTGAGTTTTGCCTACATTTACTTCTAGCCTGTGGGAGATTTTCTGCATTCTTGGTTCTGGTACCCACACCATCCACCCCAGCAAATTGACGTCATCAGCATGGACAAGTACCTGGTGCACACCATTCAATTCGAGCCCTTCGTGATTCCCTCTGACATTTCTGACGACATGTTCTAGAGCAAGATGAAAAACATTTTGGATAAAGCATTTCCCTATTTTAGGTCATTGTGCGCTGGGAAAGGATTCAACAGAAAGTTACTTATACAAACTCTAATAGATACCCCATCCGAGCACATCTTAACAAGCTGGACAGTGAGCTTATTGCGTAAAATGTCGTCCGGGTTTTTGCACTTATTTTTTTCATTAGTTCTTCACGCGAAACAAAAATATTAGTAACTCCACAGAACAGAGTCATTCTTCGGAAAGCAATAGTCACTTAGATAGTCAATAAATGTGATATAATTTTTACTATCTAGTTAATAAGAGCCCATCACAAAAAACATATTCCTAGACATATAAATAAAATTCTCTTCTCCAGAATCTGATAAAGATCTTGTCTTAATATTATTATTCTATCTACGCCTAGATCTTCCGAATGGTCTCTTTCTGACTAAAATTTGTGTATAGGCTATTTCTTGGTCCTCCGTTTGTATGCTACATGCCCATCCTATCTCATTCTTCTTAACTTCTTGATCGTCGTATTAATTATGGTCAAGAATACAAATTATGAAGCTCCTCATTATGAAAAAATCTCTTGTCTGTAGATCGTAAAATGATAAATAGTTGCTCTGTTTTCTTGAGATGTTTGCTGTTAGCATGCCTAACGGCATGAAAGTCACTAGGGCCAACAATCCCTCTAACATTCTCTACTTTTGTTAGCGATCAGTCACCATATCACGAAGCAATACATAAGCAGACGACTGACAGAGGTGCCCTCTCTGTATGTGCCTGTGTATGTTTATAACGTATGGTTGGGCGCTGTGGTTGTTATTACATCTTTGAGTGACGACGGTAGGCTCAGCAGATGGGAGAAAGGGGTGGAACGGAATCTATAACCTATCCCGTTCTCGCAGTAGCGATGGCAGTGATTAATTACCGCCATCCAACGGACCCAGTATCTCAACACTGCCACTTTTCATCTGTTGGAAAGTGAGGCATTTCCAACAGCTTCTCTTGACGTGTGTAGGAACAGAATGCAGAAGCACCCGCCTTGCGGGGACTATTCAAGTGGGACGACGTATACAGGCCAGATATCAGGCCGAAGCCTCTTTTTACAGTGTTTACTGGTGAATTCAGTTTTTATTTAAATTATAGAATTTTAGACTACATTGTATTATCCTAAAAAGTAATTTAGTGCACTATTGGGAAAATAAAAACAGAAAAATTAAAAGAGAGGGGTAAATTACGGAACGGTTAGGAAAGGACACTGCAAATATGCACTGTTTATTATTAATCAGCGTGATATGTGTAAGCAGGGCTTAACAATTAATGTTGACTGAAGAATATTCACACATAAAGCTGTCTCTCTCAACACCGAAATTTTTGTTAGATTTTTAAACACAGGTAAATTTATTTTAATTAAAATTTGGTGGATTCTGATTAAAACCATCCTTGTGTTAAATGGGAATAGAGTCGCATAATAATTAAAAAGTATATTTTATGATCATTTTTGTGCTCTTTTCCAGTATTCTACTGCATATTAATTAGCAGGCAATTATTCGCTGAATGGTAGAATGGATTTTGAACTTTTTCTTCTCTACACTTAATTTACGAAGTTTACAGAGTTTTACTTGTCACAGAAACCTATTATTTACATATAAATGGAGATAATTCTCGTATATAAAACAGTAATTATGTGCTCTATCTTAGCTTTGTATGAGGGTGTAACAGAAAAATACTGAGGAACATTTTAGGGCCCATGAAACCAGACGTAACAGAGAACTGAGAAAAATTCGTAATGGTCGGGAAGACATAAGGCGTAACAAAGAATTGAAAATGAAAACGAGCCTAAGCTGAGGCACAGTAAAAGTGGGAAGGGCAAATGGAAAGGGAGCCATATGTGGTATTACCTTCTCTCTATCTTGCGACACGTGCCTCTGTTAACAATGTATGTTTTCATTTGTGAGCGTGTGCTGTCAAGCGATTTTGGGCCTTATAGGATTTTTATGATTATGTCTGTTCACTGCTTTAGGTATTCCAGTCCTTCTTGAAGAGAAATCTACTAATTGATTCTGAAGATATATGTGATCGAAAAATATTATTTTTGTTTACATGCGTGTAGACTATGTACAAAAGTGTTTCGTTTTTGGTTATACTTTCTGTAGACTGAGACCTTCCAGTCCTCTAAACTCTTCTTGGTGAAAATAAATATAAACACAGGGTCGGTTTCATCAGTTGCCTTTTTCACCAAGCCATACCTAGGCAATAAAATGGTAGTATCTCTAAACATCGCCCGCGTATAAACAAGGAGTTTCCGGTCCCACACAGGACGCTCCATACTCAGCTGCTCTCAGTACTGCCATTATGGACCAAACTGAAGATGGCTTGTCATTCGCTTATGCACTGTGCTCCCAGCTCAAGTAATGACTAATTAACGAAACAGAGTAGGAAACGTTCAGTCCTGAGAGGAGCATACAATTTCCTCATGGGTTCTTTTCACCTTGTC